CAGTTACTTGTGTACAAACATGTGGTGTGAAAGATTTCACACACTCAGCTGTAATCCCTCTTAATTACAGAACATATGTTAACAAATAGTTTAAACCTGAGACTTGGAATTTGTTGTTACCCAGTTACTTGTGTACAAACATGTGGTGTGAAAGATTTCACACACTCAGCTGTGACCTCTCTTAGTTACACAACATATGTTAACAAATAGTTTAAACCTGAGACTTGGAATTTGTTGTTACCCAGTTACTTGTGTACAAACATGTGGCGTGAAAGGTTTCACACACTCAGCTGTGACCCCTCTTAGTTACACAACATATGTTAACAAATAGTTTAAACCTGGGACTTGGATTTTGTTGTTACCCAATAAAATTTCCACATATTTGTTAGAAACTTTTCGTTTTGTTGAAGGGCCATAAATGATGACCTAAACTTCCAGTAACACTGGAAATATGCTAATAAATCTTTTATCATGTAGTTATGAAAAATGCTAGTGTGGTTTTTTTACAACAGATTTGTTGGACTTTGTTTGGCCAAAGTTTGAACATCTGCTCACTTCAAAAGGTAGTGATAACAGATTTACATTTTTACAGACAACTGAACAATGCAAACTTTTTAAGTGTTACATTTGTTTTTGCAAATCAGGTTTATATGCAAGTATTCATTAGCATTTCTTTTCCGAGCAGTACTAAACCACTCTTTACAGAAAGTCATGAAATGTACCATATCTGAAGATAGTTTAATAAAAAGTAAATGTTATTAAAATGTTATATTATATTGACATGGTTTAGCATCTGTGTGTGTGTTTTTGTTTGGCTATGGTTGGATTAAGCATTTCTTACTATAAGTCTTTTAGAGCAGTTTGTGTAGAATAAAGATTATAGTTACTCTCATGAAATGCCTTCTTGAACCTTTAACTTGATAGTTACTCCCATAAAATGCCTTGTTGAGCCTTAAACTTGATAGTTACTCCCATAAAATGCCTTGTTGAACCTTAAACTTGATAGTTGCTCCCATAAAATGCCTTGTTGAACCTTAAACTTGATAGTTACTCCCATAAAATGCCTTGTTGAACCTTAAACTTGATAGTTACTCCCATAAAATGCCTTCTTGAACCTTAAACTTGATAGTTACTCCTATAAAATGCCTTCTTGAACCTTAAACTTGATAGTTACTCCCATAAAATGCCTTGTTGAACCTTAAACTTGATTTTAAATGATTGAGTAGAAGGTCTGTAGTATCTTTGCTATTTTAGTATGTTTCATGTAATTTTCTAGTTGTGTCAAATTTTTTTGTAGAGTTTTGTGGAAATTCCAGAACTTAGATCCCTGTACGTTATATTTAAAATTGTTTATGGAGCAGTTTAGCATAATAGTTTATTGTCATCTTGTTGGTGTTCTTAGAACCATCAGTCTTCTCCACGGTCCACTCCCAACAGCTCTCCCCATTCTGGCACTTCGAAATCCCCCCCACAATCAACTGTATACCCACAGTCTTCGTCTCGTAGTGCCCCTACTACCCCAGGTAGTGGAGCCCCTACTACAGACAGCCTTACTGGTGTTGGAGGAGATGTACGGTTAGCATTTGGCCAAACAGGAAGCTCCCGATGTCTTCCAAATGATCTCTTGGTGGCAGCAGACTCAGTGACAAATGCCATGTCTTCTCTTGTGAAGGAACTGAATTCCGGTAGGGCATTCTTTTCAAGTGAGAATTAATTAATGTTTTTCGTGTTTTTAAAGAATCTCCAGTTAAGTCTTTACCTAGCATTTATTAAAAAGAAATACTTATAAAAAATTTATGTAAAGAATGTCACATGCCATGTCTTATTTGTTTGAAAATGTAGAGACAGATCTTAATCTAGTTACACAGAATTTACATATTCTTTAAAAGTTAATAAAAGCTATAATAGCCGTTAATATGAACTTATCACAGAGGTTATTGTATAATAGAAAGGCTGAGTCTTTGTGTGACAACTGTAGTGTTTATCATCTATACCATTCCATCTTTTGGCCGCAAGAAACGTTTTTACTTGCTTGTTATTCCAGTATTCATACTGTGTCATAGACAATACTTCTTTTGCAACAGTTTTTAATATATATTCTTTGTTAGATAGTACAGATTAACTCTTTCACTACAGGCTTGGTCAATTCAACCTAAAAATTGACCTTTAGAGTTTCCATACTATAACTTCTAATGTGTTTTGTGTATCTTAAAACATTTCGCAAGGTTTCAGTAGGCATTAAGAGTCATTTGAAGACAAAAAAATCATAACTTTTAATGGAGTATTTTTACTACAAATTTCTCCATGAATATGGAGTCAAATTGCTGACCACTCCGATTGCAAGATGATTTTTATGTTAAGATTAAAAATACTTTTCTTCATCTGAAAAATCTCCAATTTCATTTGTATAATCTCTAAAACCTTCTAAATATATTTTACTTTTTTTTTCAGTAATATTTTATATTTTATCTGTTATTTTTTCTACCTTTGCTCTATACGAGGTTAGTCAATTTGACTGACCTTGTAGTCACCAAACAAAAATTTAAATTAAATTACCATTTTTTTTTCTTGAATTACTTCAAATTGTAACATGAAACTACATTTGTTTATCTTTAAAAGCTTTAAACTCATAATTGTATACATCTGTTAATACTTAAATTTTAGATTGCTCTTTGAACCACGTCTAACTAATATTCTTGCCATATAAGTTGTAAATCACATGGCAAACATGTAGCTCACATTACCCTATCAAATTACATAATGCACGGCCACGAAAGGGCTACTTGCGTGCGTACATTGTGAAACATTTGTATTATTATTATTTATTTTACCTAATCTCATCTTATCTAACCTAAAAAGTTTCTAATTTTTACATTTTAATTACTTTTATAATAATAACCTATATCCATGAAAAACAAGAAATATAGTACTTATCCGGGTCTTAATTTTCTTTTTTGCTGTTGACTGTCGATACCCTATTTTTTATACTAATGGTACTACTGCATTAAATATTTTTTCATTTAATTACATAATGTACCAAAGAACACAAAATAGTAACATGCAAAAATAGATAGTGTTTTATAACTATCACAGTTTTTCTGGTTTTCAAACTGTGTGACAAGAGCCGTTAAAAATTCAGCTAAACTCATTGATGTGTTTCCCATGAGAACAAAGTTTGAAGTAGAAGTGAAAAAGGAAATTTTTCTGTACAGTTAACAATGTAATATAATAATTCATTTGACATATTAAAACCTTGGCTTTCTATTGGTTATAAATAATATAGTATTAAACATCAGAAAGAACTATTGACAATTTGTAAAAGAGAGGATATAACAGGTGGGTGTGGCAAGAGATATCTGATTTTCTGTTTGATGGCTCTGTAAACAAATAAGATTGAAGGCTATAAAGATTATGCTGTGCCTGAATGATGACAACATTATAATGAGTGCATTACATTGAATTTCATACTTCTTGGAGGAGTGGTAAATAAATTTGGAGAAGAGGGAGTACCTAGTGAGCAAATGTCACAATTCTCATACCAGGAAAAATTCAGGATTTTTTAATATTGCCATATAAAATTAGGAACTTAAAACTTGTGTAATATTAAAATTAGGGTTATTAGCTACATTTTTATACCAAATTTATTAATATAATATAATAAGAAAGTAGTATAATTAAAGTATAAATGTAAAACCTTGTGACATGCACAGAAAAGGATGCTGGGAATGTGAGAGGGTTAATATTACAGCATCACAGACTGTTGCAAAGCCGATCAACTAAGAAAATACTTCTTAAAGTTGTAAGGTGAATAAGATAGGATTGATGCTGATTCAAGTATTTTTGGACTTCAATCTCACAAGAAACCAGCATATATGGTGTATTATTGAGAAAAGTCAAATAAAGTTACTTACATCAAATTCTTTTTTGTGTTTAACATTACTGAGACTCTGTATTGGTTGTTGAATTCTTGGTATATTCTGTCATTGTGATATGTGTTGGCAGTTCTTTCTCAATTGTTCTTAACATCTGTTTAAAAATATGTGCATGTATGTCACACCAACTTAAAAAAGTCAGATTGATTTATGTAGTTATAATTGAAAGGGGATTAGCTGTTACACTACAAGAGTTATTTAATTTCGCTGAGTTACACTACTATAAAAATCAATTAAGAATGTTATAAAACAGATTTTCATTGTTTGATAGGTTCAGAAGATGAAGGAGAGGAGGGTAACAGCAAGATTATGGTTACCAGTGGTAGAGGTAAGAATTAAACAGCAAGACTATGGTTACCAGTGGTAGAGGTAAGAATTAAACAACAAGACTATGGTTACCAGCAGTAGAGGTAAGAATTAAACAGCAAGACTATGGTTACCAGCGGTAGAGGTAAGAATTAAACAGCAAGACTATGGTTACCAGTGGTAGAGGTAAGAATTAAACAGCAAGACTATGGTTACCAGCGGTAGAGGTAAGAATTAAACAGCAAGACTATGGTTACCAGTGGTAGAGGTAAGATTTAAACAGCAAGACTATGGTTACCAGTGGTAGAGGTAAAAATTAAAGCCTTGTAATTGTTCTTCACTATTGACAAAACATGAGAAAGTAAACTTCCTGTTTAAAATATGGTGATAATTACTACCTACTCCACACCACCATTAAGACTTTGGGTGTTGCGTTATTTAATGAAACTCCACTCCTCTACACCATCACAACAGTAGGGTTAGAAAGCTTTACTTGTAACATTACTTAATCATTTCCAGCCTTGTATAATTGTGTTTTTAAGAGGATATGTGACAATATCAAGTTTTGAAAATATATACTTGACCAACAAATCACCTGTAAAGTATAACTTTAAAATATATGCTTGACCAACAAATCACCTGTAAAGTATAACTTTAAAATATATGTTTGTCCAAAATCACCTGTAAAGTATAACTTTAAAATATATGCTTGACCAACAAATCACCTGTAAAGTATAACTTTAAAATATATACTTGACCAACAAATCACCTGTAAAGTATAACTTTAAAATATATGCTTGACCAACAAATCGCCTGTAAAGTATAACTTTAAAATATATGCTTGACCAACAAATCACCTGTAAAGTATAACTTTAAAATATATGCTTGACCAACAAATCACCTGTAAAGTATAACTTTAACTGCAATGCCCAGTTTTAGAGTTTTATTTACATTTATTTTTGGATAAATTAATTCCAGAAACTCCAGATTTTTAACTGAATTTAGATTCTTGCACACAAACACACACCTATAAAAAAAATTGTAAATTTTATTTAGGGAATAGAAATATTTACATTTTTCACATGTGCAGGTAAAACTAGTCATCATAAAAAAAAACATAGCTGCAAATCTGTGGTCTTTGTTTATCTTTGCTACTTATTTCGAGCTTAAATAGGTGAAAAACTGTGATTGTTTTTTTAAATTAATGGGATCAGAAGCTGGAATTAAACCAAATACAATTTTTATTTTTATAATTATTAAGCTTCTAAAGGTAACAACATCATAAATATATCATCAGAAAGTAGGAGTTAGTTTCTCAAATATATGCTGTGGTGCTTCTTTACTTCCCTCTAAATTTCTAACCTTACAGTTATTACATATCGTGTAAAAATTATAAATTAGTTTATTAATTCTTGAGCTCATTTATTTGGTTGAAGTAATTACTTTGAAATCTTATTGTGTGCTTTGCTCTGGTGTTTGATATAAGGCTAGCAGTGGATCTTTTAGAAACAGTTGTTCCTAATTTAAAAAAGCAATAAAGAGGGATGTTTTATAAAAGCAAGCTAAGTATGATATATTTAAGTTCGTTTTAATGCTATATAAGATATTGTATGTCAGAATTTCTTTCTACAAGGTAAGCTATATCATTAGTAACCCTATGATTGTTTTATTGCTGATAACAGTGTGTAAAACTTGACTTGCTTCATGTTTGAAAAGTGGATGGGAAGGGTTAATGTAATTCTTATCCATAACAATTCTCAGTAATGTTTGTTTTTAATTCTCTTGGTCAAATCGACCGAATTCATGACCCTAAAGTGACCAACATAGTTCCATACCTTACTTTTTAATGTTTTCTATTTGTTCACAACAATTTGCAAGCTTTCAGTAAGCATTATACTGTTTTTTTTTTACACAAAATAAAGATTTTTAATTATTTTTACAAAAGATTACTCCATGAATACATGGAGTCAAAGTGTTGACTGCTCCAAGTGCAAAATAATTTTCTTGTTAGGATTAAAAATACTTTTGTTCATCTGAAAATTATGTAATCTAGTTTGTGTAATCTCTAAAACCTCCTAAATAAATACTAAACTTTTTTGATCAACCTTATAACCGTCATAAAAAATAAATAAATGTAAGTTACCGTTTTTTTCTTTCTAGAATGATTGCAACTTGTAACAGGAATATAAAATAGTTTAAAGTTTGTAACAGTATACGTCTGTTTATACTAAAATTTTATTGTTTTATTGCCCTTTGATCTGTGTCTAACTAATAATTGTGCCACATAAAGTTATAAATCACTCGGCGAATGTGTAGCTTATGTTCTTGTATCAAGTTATATAATGTACGAGCTACTTGTGAGAATAATTATTATTTTTGTTTTCATTATTTAACCTAATAAGTTTCTAATCTTTACATGTTAGTAACATTTATAATAATAAATAAAGAATACATTTGAAAAACAAGAAATATAGTACTGAGCTGGGTCTTTTTGTTGTCGACTGTTGATTAAACTTAAGCTTACTTCTTTTATACTAGACTAAATTTATTGCATTAAATAATGACCTGCGAGTATAGAATAATAACAATGTCCTATAACTATCATATTGTTGGCTTTCTAACTGTGTGATGAGAGCCTTAAAATATTCAGCTAATCTTGTTGATGTGATTCCTGTGAGAATAATGTTTCAAACTGAGGATGAAATAGACAATTCTCTGTATATAAAACACTGTAATGTAATACATACATAAAACATACATTTCTACTTCTAAACATATTTAGTTAATATGTTTAACTCTTTTTAGTCCACTATAAGGTGCTGAAAGCTTTTGTGGTTCCAAAAACAAAATGATATAAAGGTGTTTATTTCTGTAAAAATAGTAGCTAATTTTAAAATGAGTTGTTTGCAGAATTACACCCATGTTTCAGGCATTTTTTAATGACTGTCACTGAGTTGATTTAAAGTCATTGATTTATTGAATGATACGATTCATTTGGTTTACAATGAGTAAGTTTGTTTTTAATGTATATATATATATATATATCTATCTATCTCCCAGATCCCAAGAACATCAACTTGGATATCATCAAAGGTAAAAAGATGATTTGGATTCTTTTCTTGTTTCTTAATATATCAGTTAAAAATATAATGAATTAATTTTGGATCAACAAATGGTGAAAGATAATCTGTTAAATTCAGACTTGGGTTCTAATAAGCATAAAAAAATTATAATAAGTTGTTTCAGTGGTAAACCGAAGAAAATAGTCATTCATGAGAGAAACCGGGGTTAATTGTATTTTGTAATATTTTAACGTGCTATTTAGGAAGTTAATGTGAAATTAACAGCTTTTTAAAGTTTGGTGGGAGTTATTAGTTGGGTAAGTGGTAAAGATTTTAATATCTAGCTTTTATTTCAACAGGCTTTGAGACAGAGGGATCAGAGAGTGCCACAGGTAGCCTGAAGGTGGGTGGAACACTTTGGTGGGAGGAAAGACAGCGGGAACAGGAAAGTCACTTCCTTGCTCAACTAGAATCTAGGAAGTTACACTCCGGCAACGGTGAAAGTGGTCATCAGAGTCTGGAACTTGGAACTGAAGAAAATGGACAAGAACTCTATGACAGTGATCCACGGGTATGTTATTGACTGTTTTTAGTTTACACATGAATATAAGACACAAGTTTTTTTTATTTAGAAAAGATAAAAATTGGACCAGTAGCTGTGCAAAACCGTTTATCCAGGAGAGAGTAATTGATAATGACTTACGTTAAAACTGGGAATTTGGTGATGTAAACATTGAATATAAAGTAATGAGGTAATTGAAACTTTAAAGGGCTCTTTAATAAAGAACAAAAGTGTTAGTATATTATAGTTTCTTATATAGCTACAAAACACTCCAGTGTAAGTTTATTCATGTAGTTATAAATATTTTCAAGTCTGAGGTAACATACGAAATGTATAAAATATGTATGTCATTACTAATAATAAAAAAGTAAGAAACAAACATAAAGAAACACAATAAAGTTAACAAAAAAAGTGGACAGTAAAAACAGTGTTTAGCTTTTTTGTTCAAACACCCTTCTGATGTACAAAAAAGATATGTCTAGATTACAGTAAACATACATTTCTACTTTTAAACAGCTGGGTGAAAGTACCCATAGTAAACATACATTTCTACTTCTAAACAGCTGGGTGAAAGTACCCATAATAAACATACCTTTCTACTTCTAAACAGCTTGATAAAAGTACATATAGTAAATATACCTTTCTACTTCTAAATAGAAATGTATGTTTATTATGGGTACTTTTATCAAGCTGTTTAGAAGCTAAACAGCTTGATAAAAGTACATATAATAGAAAGGTATGTTTATTTAGAAGTATGTACTTTTATCAAGCTGTAGAAAGGTATGTTTATTATTTAGAAGTAGAAATGTATGTTTATTATGGGTACTTTTATCAAGCTGTTTAGTAGTAGAAATGTATGTTTATTATGGGTACTTTCACCCAGCTGTTTAGAAGTATGTACTTTTATCAAGCTGTAATAAACATACCTTTCTACTTCTAAACAGCTGGGTGAAAGTACATATAATATAATAATTAATGTATTAATTTTACACAATATTTTCAAGAAATAAAACTATCGTAATTATTATTCTTTACAAACTGATCCACCACTGAGTTTTATGTATAAAGAATTTGATTAGATTTATATTGTTTAAAGCAGTGATTCTCGACTAGTGGACCGTGGCCCTCTGATGGTCCGTAAGATCTGTGATCATTGTCCACTATGTTCTGGGACAACAGTTACTGCCCTTAACTAAAGAGTCATCAATGGCATATGTTGACCTTTATTATTGTGCCAAATAGTGGGCTTTGAGGTGCAAGAGATTGAGAAGCTCTGGTTTAAAGGCTTCGTAATAACTATAATAACCATTTTCGAACAGTAGTAATTGTAGATAATATAAACAGTATGATTTAATGCATATGTTAGTTTTCCAGTGTATTTTTGAACTTTAGTAACAGCTGTTAGGTTTATTGTTTGATTGCAGCTTTTTTCTTTGATTTATGTACTTTGTTTCATTTTGAAGTTTTTTTTCCAATTGTGTATGAATTTTTTTTTCAAGTTCTTGTTTATTCTAAATGCTGCAGTCTGTTGATAGCTTTTGTTTTATTTTGTTCGGGAAGTGTCTCAAAAGTTGACCTCACTTATCACATTTGAAAATAATCTTTATTCTCATATTTCTTGTAGTGTAACCAAATCTAATTAGTATATCAGAAGCAGTATTAGATATATACTCTCAGCCTTTTCTCCCTAAGTATACTGAAAAACATATTGCATTGTCTTTATGTATGAAACCTCTCCAGACTAAGTGATAAATAACCAAATGGTTTCAATTAGAAAAAAGTTATTTGCAAAATTTCTTTATTAGAAATATATATATATATATTTCATTGTGTTCCTGGCTACAAACAAAACAAATTATCAAATACCAGAGACTTTAAAATATGATTTGCTGCACAAACGTTTTTTTTTTCTAATTAATCCTTTTTTTTATCATTTGCTTAAAAAAAAGAAGAAAAAAAGGTCACTTTTGAGGCACCTTGTTTTCTTTGTTGCATTTCTTTTTGAGTTTATTTGTGTTTCCAGTGTGCTCCTGCCAGATCTAGTTGAGCTGTGCACCCATGTGTAGCTGCTTAGGCAAACTTCTTTGCTTCAAACCTTAGGACCTCACCCTATTCCACCGTCATGCATCGCTGACGACAGACGACGAGAGCTATGTTCGCACTGATGATGAAGAAGGTGGAAACACTGACTGGGAAGAGACCATGAGAAGATGGGTGAACCGCTAATCCAATCCAGCTTTCTATGTTCGTCAGTTTTCCTCCCTCGTAGCACAGTGCTGTGTTGTCTCCTGTCTTAAAACACAAGTACCTGTTGCTTTCATTACAATCATATAAGTATATCTATATGGATATAGATCCACTATATTACTCAAAACATTATAGTGTTTTATAAGATCGCAACATACATACGTTACGAAACAAACCAAATTTTATACGTAATTAGTTGCGCACATATCACAGCTTCTACTATTATGGATATTCTTAAAACCATTGTTTGCCATATTTTGTTGTTGTTTTTTTTACTTAATGTACACATTGTTTTATTTGTGCTACAATCTAGTTGCTAGAAACGTTTTATCTATATAAAAATTGTAGAATTTATTATGTTGCAAAGTATATGTTTGGAAAGTTTTCATCTGTGCCCGAACAGACAGACAGACAGAATTGAAAACAATTTTTGTTGTAAAGTAGATGTTAAGAGAATTCTATTGTGAGTGGTGAAATGATTTTGGATGATGTTTCTGTTCTAGAAAGTTTTGACCTAAGCATGATCAACACAAAATTGAAAGCAATGTTTGTTGTAAAGTTTATTTTAGCTGCATGATGAAATTATTTTGGATGATGTTTCTGTTCTAAACTAATTTTTAGGTAAGTTCTAATCTCCATGAGATGATAATACATAGGAAATATTTTTGCTCCAAGATAGGTTGTAAGATGTTAGTGGATCGTGTTACGAGGTACTGTTGAACGTTGTGTTTCTGTAAGTTTCTTATATAGGTAGGTTTGACCTGTATGTGAGGAGACATTGTTAAGTAGTTGTATGAAAAAATTTGGTTTGCATGTGGTGTAAAGTGTTGACTGCCACCTCCCCCCTTTTTTTTGAAGTAACTTTTTGATCTTCTGTGATGAGTCAGTGTTGAAATCATTCTGGTTTGGAAAGGTTGAATTTGTATGTGATATAACACAATTGAATGATTTTCGTTTTGGAAACATAGCTGTTTGGAAAGGTTTGTCCTGTACGTGGTTCAACAGTGTTGGATGTCCTTTCTATCATAAAGCTATCTATTTGGAAAGGTTTGTCCTGTACGTGGTTCAACAGTGTTGAATGTCCTTTCTTTCATAAAGTAGCTGTTTGGAAAGGTGTGTCCTGTATGTGGTTCAACAGTTTTGGATGCTGCTTCTATTGTAAGGTAGTAATTTGGACAGATTTGATCCAAATGTGGTGAGATTAATGTTTAGGTTTTTTTGTTTTGTTCAAAGGTTGAATGTAGGGAAGCTTCGATCTCATACTATCAGACAGTATGGTGTAGTATATCAATAAATGAATGTTTTGGAATATGCTGAAGTGAAAAGCATGTTATAAATGACAATTTCCTATAATTGTTATACATGTAAGTGATATCAGTGCTTGTATTGTTTCTTCCTGTTCTACTTTCACTGACATTACTTGTCTTCTTATTAGATAACACTCAAGATGGATTTGGGTTTAGAAGTTTCTAGTTACTGTATTATTCTATTAATATAAGTTCACTGGTCTTGTTGACATTTTTCCGCCAATCCTTAACGTCCATTTGCTCACCATCTGTTAATTTAGCTAGTGTAGAAAGTACAGTAAAGTATACAAAAATTAACAGAAAAATCCTGCTGTCTTAGCTCAGTAATAAATTATTGTAATATTTCTCTTGATGGTATTATGGACATTTGACTTTCTCTCTAGTCAGTCGTTAAATAGATAGTACATTTTAAGATGGCAGACATGGTATGGCAAGAGTTGCTCACAGTTTTTGTTTTTAATTTACAAATTGCAAACTGTAGAATTTATATTTTGTAGTTTTCATAAAAAAGTAAAGAGTATATTAAGTTTCTAGAGTAGGGTTACCAGATTTCCAGAATATGATGTGGTAGTGCCCGGCATGGCCAGGTGGTTAGGACGCTCGACTTGCAATCTGCGGGTCGCGGGTTCGCATCCCCATCCCACCAAACATGCTCGCCCTTTCAGCCGTGGGGGCGTTATAATGTGACGGTCAATCCCACTATTCGTTGGTAAAAGAGTAGCCCAAGAGTTGGCGGTGGGTGGTGATGACTAGCTGCCTTCTCTCTAGTCTTACACTGCTAAATTAGGGACAGCTAGCGCAGATATCCCTCGTGTAGCTTTGCACAAAATTCAAAACAAACAAACAAACAATGATGTGGTAGTATATGTTTTCCCGATGCATATTGACACTTTAACAACTCTGAAACGGTTTAAGTTATGATAAAAAAAAACATTTCTCCAATTGCTAAATAATCTAATGTTCATAGCATAGCCTTTTAAAATTGCAGGCAAACAATATTAGTTAAAAGCTTACTTAATTGAATTAATAATAAATGTACCTAAGTTTTCTTGAACCCATTAAAAAGAAATATATTGATTTTGTTTTCGCTTTTTGTGGCTGGACAGGCCTTCAATTTCTATTCCCGCTTCTGCCGATTGACAAGTTAGGGTAATAAAATGTAGCAGAGAGGAAAGGAATACTGTACCATTGTGATTTGTCTTTGCCAATTAATCCTCCAAATATAACTTAGAAGATCTCTGTATAACGACAAATTGAGGTCGAGATAAACTGGGACAATTTAAAACTTTAACTGTTTCTGATCAGGACAAATAAAAAAGGCTGGAAATTTGGATGTCTGGTAACCCTACTATTTGCTCATGTTGAGTCATGCATGGCATATTGATTAACATGTCAGACTGTTGATCTGAGTGTTCTGCTTTACAGTGTCACACTATCATCAAGTTATGTAAACTGACAAGATCACATTTCACAGTAGCTGATCAGGATGAGGTACTTTCCCTCAAGAAAAAAGTTTGTGTCTTACTTTATACACTAGTATCTGTCACAGTCTCTGTGTGTTGTGATTAAAAGTTTGTGTCCTACTTCATACACTAGTATCTGTCACAATCTCTGTGTGTTGTGATTAAAAGTTTGTGTCCTACTTCATACACTAGTATCTGTCACAGTCTCTGTGTGTTGTGATTAATAGTTTGTGTCATACTTCATACACTAGTATCTGTCACAGTCTCTGTGTGTTGTGATTAAAAGTTTGTGTCCTACTTTATACACTAGTATCTGTCACAGTCTCTGTGTGTTGTGATTAAAAGTTTGTGTCCTACTTTATACACTAGTATCTGTCACAG